AGCATTGTCCTATCCATAACACTGGGTTATGTGATGTTTTGAGAAAACAAGATGTTTACATGAAAAATGCACATTTACCCTTAATGCCATTATATACATTCAAACTAATGTGATCACACATTGGTTGGACATCACATCAGCACTTAACACTGCTATACAGCGGCATTTGTTTGGAGTGTTTTACCAAGTTCCATCAGCTAAAAAAAAAGACACAAACTGATTGGGCCATGGGATTCTGTTTGAGAATATGCGGCACAAATTATTTTCCTCCTCTCTGTAAATGTCTTCCCTGTTCTCTTTTTTACCGTCTTCTCTTTCACAAGTTGGTAGGTTGTTGAGATACAGCATTAGCATGGTCATAATTTTTTCCTTTGTATTGACTGAAAACAAATTGGGTAGAATAGCTGTAAAGGTCCTCAGTGAAATTTCCTATAAAACAAACATTCAGTGATTCTCACCACAATGCACAGTTTGTATACTTGAGGTCTGACAAACTGTCAGGAATGGTGCGTAAAGCAGCCGATGATATTGAGGGTGAACTCCATTAAATAGCCAGACAAGGATAAGTAAAAAAAACAAAACAAAATCTCTGTAATAAGAGCACTCGACACGGAACAAAAAACGATACAAGACACAGTTTAAACACGAAATGCTCTTACAGATTGATAATACAGTCCAGGGTCAGAACCAGCAAACGCATACATCCAAGGAATCCAAACGAGTCAGAAAGGGGAGTCTGATAAGCCGATACACAGAGAAGAAGTCCGAGTTTGAAGGTGAAGGCAATATACGGTGGTCAAAAACAGCAAACCAGGGTCAGAAACTAAACAGTCAGGCAAGGATTAATGTTGAAGAGTCAGAGCTGGAGTCTAGATCTGGCAGGTTATTTGTGGGGGAAGGCTGCTTATAATGGGGTGAAAAACAGGTGTGATTAATGAGGAGCAGGTTAAACTAAGGTGTGATGATTAAAGTAAAAAGTTTGAAACTGTGGTGAAACAAAAACAGGAAGTAATGTCAAAATAAAAGCACGACAGGCAGCAAACTCAACTGAATCATGGCACAAGCATGTTGAATACATTTCCTTCCTCCATAAAACATTTACAAAGTTTTTTTTTTTTTTTTTGTTTTTTTTTACAGTATTTTGAATGTGGCATTGATTACATTCACGTTTGTGTGCTAGCAGCCTTCCTCTTCAGTACCTTTGTTGGTGCACTGCTAAATGCCAAGTGTGACCTCTATTGCAGGATGATGACCATAGGCTCATGCCCACATGTTCATCCGCTGGAGCATTCAGTATACAAACCCACTAAAAAAATGGCATGGTTGAAACCTCCTTTAAAAGTGGTCTGTAACATTTTTAAAGATCAATGTGTCAATTCAAATCTATTTTTGATGTCCAGGTATGATTATAGTTAAAGATGAAGGCCAATAGCACAGAGTTGACTCAATAATCTTATTGTTAGATTTTTATCATAATGTTTCTCAATTTACTAGTCCGTGTAATTGTTTTTCTCCACCCACATTAGATTTACATTGCAGTATTTTTTGAAGGATAACATAGTAATTATCTAGAGTGATTTCCTACCCAGTCAACACAACACTGTCTATTTATATCACCAAACTGCAGAGGATGGTTAGGACAGTTAATATTTTGTAACTTGTAGCTGCAGTATTGCTGAGTAGAAACACAGCTGAGTAAAGTAGCTGTTTGGAAACAGTTTGTGATGGGTGGCCCACTCATAATGGCATATTAGTTTATTCTTTGCCATAGGAATGTAACCATTCACTCACTCATGTCAGTGCATCAGTTTGTAATCCTGCCAATCCACCTGCCCCTGATAAAAGAAAGAATTTGAATGAATCTATTGAGCATCAGCAATAATTATTATGAAGTAGTTTGACTGTTACTGGCAATATATTTATACCACTCTCTCTGATGTTCTGATATTTTGAAGCAACCAGTATTACACATTTAAATTACAGGGCGGTGGTTTATATGTCCCATATATTCAGTGTTTATATCTAAGAATAAGGATGGTTGAACATTACTGGTGTTTCTCTACCAACACAGGTCAGCCTGGCTGAGCAGCACTGAGCTGCTCCAGAGTCAGCTCCATTGTTTCAACAGCACCACATTGTTTATCTTTCATATCTTGATCATGTGGGGGTGGTGTGAGTTGCTGAGAAGTGACACATAACTCATGGTGTTGGTGTGGTGTTACTAGCCTGCATCATGGAGCCCTTGGTGCTCGGCTTTATTATAACCCCTCATCTGAAGACCAAGTGAGAGACTCAATTTTCAAATCTTGCTGCAGTGAAATTACGGATAAAAAAAAACGGAATGTGTAAGAACATTCCCTCTGCGCAACATTTCAGCCAATCACCTGTCTTGATGAGCAGGCTCTGTTGAAGGCAGAGCTCGGTCCTACTCTGCCCTGGGCAGAAGAAATGACCAGCTGTGCCCGAGTCACCACAATTACCCCCAGCTGCTAGAAACACATGGAAACAGAGGCCAACCCATGCCACCCGGCTTGGCCCAATTAAAGCAGGCTGACCCATGGGAAGATACCATATGGTACATTTATTTACATTTTTGCATAAACATTACTGAATCAGGGCATGATTTACAATCTTGGGCTTAAAAAAGGTTTACAAGTAGGCAGAGGCAGAGAAATCCACAAAAAACTTGACTGTGGATCAAAACAAACTTTGACTGTGTATCATGTACTCCCTTAATGGTGTTATTAGAATACTTTAAGTTGGTAATAGGCCAGACAATGTTATAAATTTGAAAGGAACACGAGTTGATGTTATAACCCATTTTCAAATAAACCCTCATTAGATTGCTATCCCTGCCCCTTCTTTCACAAAAAGGCTGAAATTAAATTGGTGACTCACATGTCAAGACTAAGTGGTCTTAAGGACTTGCATTGTCAAATGTACTGTACACAGTATTACAACATATATATCATAAATACCAAGGCCATTTTTGTCACTTTAGCACTGTCATGAACATAAAGTACAAATTAATCTGGTTGCCTTGAGGGTTTAGTGATTTATGGCCTTAGTGATGCTATTAGATGAGAACAGTGTAGCTACAGTTCTGTAATTCTGTGTAATTCAGTTTGACATTGCTGTCAGATTGTAGCT